CTCAACGACGAAAAGACGTTTGCCGAGATGGTAGCCAGCAGGTTGGACGACAAGTCGAGGGACTGCGTGTTGCTGGGAATGCTGCGCGGAACAACAGTCAGGGAGCGGCTGCTGCAGTTGACGGTGAGCGCTGCTTCGTTGCAATCGCAGACATTCGAGGTCCAGCCATCGCAGGCAACAGGCAGAGCGGCGATGGAAGCAGAGGCTGCGGCCGCAGAGGAGGCCGCGGCGATCGACTTGACCGACGCAGAGCTGGCCGAAACAGTGCCTGCAGAGACGGCAGAGGCAGACGAGAAGAGGGCAGCGGCAGTGGCAGCAGTGGCGGCCGAAGCGGCAGACGCAGAGCGGGTCGAAGCGACCGAGGCGGAGGTGGCGACGCTGGCCAGGGATGCTGAAGCTGTTGCGGCCGAGATGGAGCTACGCTTGGCGGCAACGGAAGAAACGACGGTCGGGTCGGAGCAGGTCGTGTCGACAAGGCCCAAGCCAGCGTAACAGCTGGTGCACGCGTTGGGGGCGGCCGAGGTGCAGGTCGAGCAGTTTGTGTAGCAGCACTGGTTTTGGAGCTGGCCAAAGCAGGTTGCGCACATGTAGTGGCAGACGGACGGGTTGAACACGCTGCCAAACGTCGAGGGGGGTGTCCTGACGAAAGGGTTGGCAAGAAGCGAAACAAAGCCCGTCGGGCCCATCAGGCGCAGGCCCTGGAACAGACCAGGAGGCAGCGTGGTCAGCTGGTTGTTCTCAAAGTTGACGAACGTCATGTTGGGAGTATTTTGGAACAGGCCGGACGCGACGGTTGTCAGGGAGATGCGATCGGCGACGCTGCGAGAGAGAGATGTGTGGAAACAAAAAAAATGGTATTTTGCGAGTCAGTTTTGCCGAATGACATTTGGAAAAAACAGATTCCAGACCGTGATGTTGCTAATAAAACGAGACAGAGTGACGGGACTTACAGATTTTCGAGGTTGGGAGTGGCAGCCAAATCAGACGCTTGGAGCGTGGGAATGACATTGCTGAGCGTGGGAGCGGAACCAGAGAGATGACTGGCAATTTGCAAACAACGAGAGGATGTCAGTGTTAGTCGATTCGTCCGGCAGCAGGCAGCAGACAGCAGGCAGGATTGGGCTGGCAGGTGGATACCCAAAAACAAAAAAAAAATCAAAAACCACTCACATAACCTTGAGCGAAGGCATGACGGGCAGGAAGGCGCTGGTGGGGAAGGTCGTGAGCAGGTTGGACTTGAGTTGGAGGGTCTCGAGCAGAGTGTACTGGGTGAGGGAAGGGAGATCCTTGATCTGGTTGTTGTTCAGGAGGAGCACTTTGGTCGTGAGGGGGATGCCGATTGGAAGAGTTGTCAAGGAGAGACCCGAGCAGTCGACTTGAAGCGTGCCGAGCGAGCAGATGCACGCAGCGCTGGCCCAGGCATTGCAAGCTACGACCGTGCCGAGGGCCGACGCCGAGACAGCCGCCGCGGAGGCGACAGAGGCGGTCGAGGCCGGGGTCACGTCTTGCGCCATGGAAGTTGACAAACCGCACGCGAGGATGGCGAGGGTGCACGCGATCAGCACGAGTGATGACGGGCGGGCCATTTTTGCTTTCCTGGCTTGAGGTAGTGGTTGAGGATTGGACTCGGGGAGAGAGAGAGAGAAGAAGAAGAGAGAGAGAAGCGAGAAGAGGAGAAGAAGAGAAGAAAGAGAAGAAAAGAGAGAAAAAGTGACTCGCTTCTATCCAAAATAAATGATAAAGAGTGAGTTCAAAGTTTGCATGACAATTAACACAATAATGAAAAGGGAGGCAAACCCAAAAGCAATGGAAAATACAATGGAAAAAAAAAAAAACGAGCGACAACAAGGACGAAAAGAGAAAATGTCCAGATCGATATGAAGATAGCGAGATAGAGAGAGATAGAGAGTGGGCGAGAAGAGATGAAGAACGAGTGAGACATGAAGCACATGTCCCCATCGCACCAAAAACAAAGACACCCTTCCTTCCTTCCTTCCTTTTCCATGCGGTTCTGGTTAGTCTAACTGGCTCAATCATAGTCGGTCAGTCAGTCAATCAGTCACATTGAGACTGACTACGACTCTGCACTGAGAGACAAATCTGCGCGCCATTTCGGAGCTTGTTTTTGGTGTTCCTGATCCATTGAATGCAGATGAACGGCCTTCTCTCTCCACTAGAATCATTTTTTCAATGCAAGTCACAAAGAGATGGAAGGAGAGAGTCTGAGGGGGGGGTGGGCGAGTCGGCCACATGGCCAACGAACTCACTTAACTCTCTCTTTCTCTTTAATGTTGCCCCGTCTTTCCCTCTGCCGCCAACCACCTTCCTTTATCCAACTTTCAATCTTAATGTTTGACTCGGAAAACAACCCTTCAATCAAGTTGTAGTTGGCAAACTTTTTTCTCGCTTCTTTTTTCGGTAAGAATGTTCTTTTCTTTTTTCTTTTTTTTTTTTCTTTTTGATTAATTCCTTCAGGAATTTGAAATCAAAATGAATCAAACCAAGCTAATTCACGCCCACTTGCATGAGTCACGGAAAAAAAGAACACTTCGTCAAAGAGAAAGCCACCCGAAAGCAAGCCAGCGATGACACGTTGAATGCAACATTGATAGCGTAGTGCACAATGCACTCTGTGCAACAGACATCCGTGCTGGGGAATGAAACAAAGCCAACAGTGTCATGAAAAAGGGCGGCTCAAAAAAAGGGCGGGAAAGGCTGACAAAGACTCAGCAGAAAGGGGGAAAAAAAAAAAAAAAAAAGTCCTCCTTCGGTGTCCTCGAGGGAGCAAAGAACAAGAGAAAGATGATGAAGAGGGCTGCCCCCCAGTTGGCTCACGTCGGCCAACAGCGACTGCCAGACCGAGCACAACACAGAACACAGTGAAAGCGAGAAAAAAGGATGAAGCGTTCAACGGTTCGCCCGTTTTGTGCACTGTGATGGGAATGAAGCTATTTTTTGAAAATTCAAAAAAAAAATGATAAAAATGAAAAAGAAAAATTTCGCATGCACACGCGCATATTTTGCTCGCTGCTGTTTCAACAGTCGTTGGAGGGCAGTGGGAAGGCGGAAAGTCGGTCGATTGCTTGTAAGCTACAAGACCAACCAACCAGAGAAGTGGTGAAGCGTTGGGTGGAAAAGTCAAGGAGGGGGAAAAGAGCGCATGACGGGGGTGTTGGAAAAAAGTGATCCATCTCACTGCGAATCATCCATTTTTCCCCCTTCATGAGAGTGATGGATTGGAGGGAAGGGGGAGATGTCGGGCCTTCATTCATAAGGCAAACAACAAGGCGAGTTTGCGCTAATAAAAGTGCCAACCGAACTGTGTCTGTCCTCAGGAAAAGGAGACGTGAATGAAGGGGAATAAATTGAAAAAAAAAACCGCAACTGTCCGCGTGGGAGCTCACTCAATGTTGAATTCAAAAGAGGGGAGGGCCTCTGCGTGCGGCACACTTTCGCCAACTCGTCAGAGTGGTATCGGGTTTGGTTCACAAGAAACAACCGATCAACGGCAGCACACATGGACGACTTTGATCTCAGTCAGTCTCAAGCATTAACGGCTTTGGTGGATGCCTTTTTTTTTTTCTTTTTTTGATGAATTTGCATACATTTGTGCAACCACATTGTGGAACCTATCAGATCTGGGGGAATGTGTCGCCAGATCTCAGGAATCCCATTGTGGAATTTGAATGGAAGGGGGGGAAAGTACTCGATGGAAACGTGTGAATGGGGAATTGAAATCGCAAATGGAGCGACAAGTGAGCGTGAAGGGAGAAAGAAGAAGGTGAAAAAAAAAAAAACGTTCACTTACAAAAAAAAAAAAAAAAAATGACTGATCAGGTCAGTTTCAATCAAGATCAGAGAAGGCTTGCGTGTGTGAGAGCGAGCGGCACTGGAACACGAAGAATGAGGTGGGACCGAATCAGTGAATAAATGGAAGGATGGGTGGACAGCAAACAAAAGAACAGGGCCTGACTCAAACGGCTGTCCGAGACCTAAGGGAGCTGGGCGCATAGTGGAATGCGAAGAACGGAGAAGAAAAAGGCGAGGCGCCAATGCATGAGCATGTGCACCCGTGAAACGGAGAATGAAAGAGTCGAAGAAAGTAAGGCGTGCGGACGCATGGGGGGAGAAACAGACTATTGGGAGAAGGTGGGATGCACACTCACGTGTGAAACCGACAATGAGAAAAGGGACAGAATGCGACAGAGAAAGATTCATGATTGACGACAAGAAGGCCAGCACAAAAGTGAACAAGCAAGCGAAAGGGGAACAACCGGAAAAAGGACACGTAGCAGCGCAGAAGCAATTTACACTCAGATTTTAGGACGAGGCGAAGCAAACTCAACATGAACATGAAAAGTGCAATGAAACATTGGAGAACCGTCCAACAACTCAGTTCACAAAAGTCTGGTTGTACGCGCCCTGTTGGAACGAGGTCGGAAGCACTCGACAGATCATGCACTTGTCTTGACGCTGGATCATCGTTTGAGCACATGCAACGCAGACACATGCGTGGCAGCACGGCACCAGCTTGGCATTCGTGGGGGCGCTCCAACAGAGCAAGCACTCGCGTTCGCTGTCTTCGATGGTCTTGTCCTCGTTTACTTCAGCTTCTTCGCCCGACAATCGTCTCAGGATCTCGCCAAACGACGGTCGATCAACTCGCGTGGGCTCGAGGCAATCAAGCGCAAGCTCCGCTATGGCTTGTGCCGACTCCTTGTCTTGAGGGCTCCAGTCGATCGCCTTGTCAAGCACCGCATCGATTTTGCGGCTCTTCTTAAGCTCGCGTCGAACGGTACCCATCAGATTGATACTGGGCTGCTGTCCCGTAACGAGCTCAAGCAGAATCATGCCGTTCGAGTACACATCCGTTTTGATAGAAACCTTGCCTTCGTGATGGTACTCTGGGCAAATGTACTGAAGGGTTCCTTGAACCGTCTGCGTACGAATGTAGCTGTGTGCATCCACTTGAGCTGGAGCAGAGCGCGTCAGACCAAAGTCGGCGACCTTTGCGTTGAACTGAGCGTCCAGCAGCACATTGTCTGTTTTGAGATCCAAATGGAACAGCGGCTGGCGCGGAATCGCAGTCTGCACAAAGTGCATGGCGTTCGCAATATCGGTCGCAATGTTTCGGCGCTGCTGCCAGCTTAATGCAGGCGTCCCATCCTTGCGATCAAGACGATCGCGAACAGAACCGTTTGCCATCAGCTCGTAGACCAAGCAGCGCTCGTTGCCTTCTTGAGCATAACACATGATGGTGACAATGTTCGGGTGACGGAAACGCGAGAGGGCTTCGAGCTCGGCCTCGAACTGAGCGATGCCTTGGGTTGAATCTGCTGCCAAGCGTTTGACGGCAACTTGCTGACCGCTCCAGACACCAGAGTAGACGCTGCCAAATCCACCGCCACCGATGCGCTTGGACTCTGAAAACTGCGCTGTGGCTTGCGACAGAACATGCAATGGTACTTTCAGAATGTTGGAGATGATGGGTGCAGTGGCTGTCGTCTGCTGAGCTTGTTCCATTTGGACAATACGCGCCTGGAGTTGGCGAACTTGCTCAGACATCGGTTCAGGCGTGGCGGGAAGCGAGTAGGGAGTACTTGGTAGCGGGGGTTTTACTGGGATGCGGGATGGACTCGTGATTGAATTTCGAACGCCGGTAGGTGGCGGTGGGGCTGAAGTGCGCACAGAAGTCGATGCCGATGGAACGCGGCCGGGGGCAGCGACTTGAACACGAGCCCGCTGGTTTTCGGTCCTGAACATGAACAAGTCAGAACGACAAGACAGCTCTAAACACCCATCAAACAAGTGTAACTCACGACAACTCGCAATTTGAGGGAACGCATGAGGATAAAAATTGGACCGCACTTGAGGAGATCTGGTTGTCCGACACACTATCGCAACAGAACACGAAAATAAATTGTCAGCGACGTTTAGCGTTCAAAAGCTCATGGTACTGCATCATATTCGTCCATGTGGAACCGCACACCCGTCGCCCCTGTACCGCAACAGAACTTTACTTGAGTTTCGACAGAAAAACCTTGCTCTGAAGCGCAGATCCGATCGCCTGCGCTCCCACGTCGCCGATTTGATTGGCATTCATCCTAGATCAGACAAAAATCAGCAGCAAGCCATTCTTGAGCGAAGGTGGAGATGCGGTCAAACATGCGAATACCATACGCGAGCTGAGTAAGCGCTGTCGACGTCTTCAGTCCCTCGGCAATTGCACGAGCTCCGGCATCAGTGATCTTGTTTGTATCGACACTAAATCAAATTGCTGATATTAGAACGCACCCATGAGGCACTGCGACACCACCAGCACGTACCCAAGTGCTGACAAATTAGGCTTGTTCCGGAGCGCGAATCCGATAGCCTGCGCTCCCGTGTCGCCAATTTGAGTGGCATTCATCCTAGATCAGACAAAAGTCAGCAGTAACTCACTCTTGAGCAAATTTGGAGACGCGACCAACAGTTAAACGTGCGACCGACAAACCTGAGGTCGGTCAGCGCACTTGACGTCTGCAGGCCTTCAGCGATGGCACTAGCTCCGGCGTCACCAATGTTGTTCTTGCTCAAGCTGCATCAACTTGACCAAGTTAGTGTCGCGCCCAATCGCCCCTGTGAAACCACCAGAACATACTAGAATTTCGACAGATTGGCCTTGTTTCGGAGCGCAGTTCCGATCGCCCGCGCTCCGGCTTCGCCAATCTCATTGGTGTGCATCCTACATCAGACGGGCAACACACGCAAGTCAACTCTGAGCGAAGCTAAACATGCGTTTACAACTCAAACGCGACAACAATACCCGAGTTGAGTCAGCGCAGTCGATGTCAGGCCTTCTGCGATGGCACGAGCGCCAATGTCACCAATCTTGTTCGTGTTCAAGCTGCATCAAACGGTCACATTAGATACGAGCGCCCAGAAGGCACTGTCCACAACCAGAACGTACTGGAGAGAAGACAGGTTGGTCTTGTTTCGAAGCGCAGATCCGATCGCCTGTGCTCCTGCGTCACCGATTTGGTTGTCATACATCCTATGTCAGACAAATGTCAGAAGCAAGCCATTCTTGAGCAAAGTCAGAGAAGCGATCAAAGTTCTCATGTGCAATCACAATACCTGAGGTCCGTCAACGCGGTCGACGCCAGCAGACCTTCAGCGATGGCACGAGCTCCAGTATCACCAATACTGTTCTCGAACAAGCTATATCGAATATTGCAAGTGAGAGCCGTGTCACCAATAGCCCCCGTGACCGCACCAAAGCATACAAGAGAGTGGAGAGCTTCGGCTTGTTCCGAAGCGCTAATCCGATCGCCTGTGCTCCCGCGTCGTCAATTTGATTCTTGTACAGCCTATGCAGACAACCATCAGAAACAAAGAATGTTTGAGCAATGCTAGAGACGCGACGGAAGGCCCAATGTGCGACTACAATACCAGAGGTGAGTCATCTCAGGCGCCGTCTTTACGGCTTCAGCAATGGCTCGAGCTCCAGCGTCACCAATACTGTTACCGCCCAAACTGTGTCCAATCGGTCAGATCAGACCCGCTTGATCAATAGCCTCATCAACGACACCAAAACGTACTAGAGACCAGACAGAATCCTTTTGTTCCGAAGTGCCGATCCAATCGCCTTTGCTCCCTTGTCGCCAATCTGGTTGTCATTCAAACTAATTCGAAAAATCCGCGTCAGCTCTGGTCTTGAGCGACTCACTTGCTTGTGACTTCTTACTTAAGCGTCTGCAAGTTGCTGTTTGCCTTGAGACCCTCGGCAATCACCAAAGCATCCGCGTCAGTGATTTCTGAGTTTTGGAGCCTTGATGCCGCCAAACAAGTCAGCGCGCGAAAACAGCCACTCCCTCGGTCTTGAACGATACTTACTCGACCGACCTGGAAGACTTGGCTTGCGCAAACAGCGCGCGCTGCCGCGACGTACGTCTAAAAAACATCTGCAATGGAAACATCAGTCAGGCGAGTTCTCGCTTTTGGCCAATTAAGACGCGCACCCTCCCCTCCGCCAGTCCAGGACGATGCAGCCAACTCGTGGATGGCTTTTCATGCCGCGTTCATCGCTTTTGTCATGAGATTCCTCGCCACAGCTATCGGCTCATTCGTGTGATGCAGATCTTCTGGTTCTGAATCACTGTGTTTTGCCTAGCCAATCCCGGCCCTCCACGCCACCCACCACCACGACCACCAAGCCTGTCACCGATGTCGACACAACCTGAGTCAAGGTGATCTATCGGCAAAGCTGATGCCTGAGCTGATAGCGAGAACAGAGTTGAAAGACAGCAACATTCCCAAAGCGACAAAACCAGAGCAATGGACAAACACCAAAACAACAAGATGCCGTGCCGTGTGTTGCCATGTTAGCTTGTTGGGTGTGTGTGTGTGTGTGTGTGTGTGTGTGTGTGTGTGTGTGTGTGCGTGTGTGTGTGTGTGTGTGTGTGTGTGTGTGTGTGTGTGTGTGTGTGTAGGCAAGGTGTTGCAAAGAGAAAGCAATTTAAAACGGAACAGGCAACCTGAAAAAAAAAATACAAAATAAACTGGAAAATGATAACAAATTCAGGGCCAATCTTAAAACTGGATTCAAGGGGAAAAAGAAAAAAAAGGAGAGAAAGAGACTGAAACCAATGAGAAAAGGGACAGAATGCGACAGAGAAAGATTCGTGATTGATGACGGTGTGAAGACAGGAAGGCCAACACAAAAGTGAACAAGCAAACAAAAGGGGAACAACCAGAGCAGAAGCAATTTGCACTCAGATTTTAGGACGAGGCGGACCAAACTCAACAAACAAAGAACATGAACATGAAAAGTGCAATGAAACATCCAACAACTCAGTTCACAAAAGTCTGGTTGTACGTGCCCTGTTGGAACGAGGTCGAGTTTCAAGGGAACTTTGGATTTTCTGTCATTTGCACTTTGGAACTTTCTGTCCTTTCCAACTTTTGCTTTTACTGAGGTTTTGTTGACAGCCACGGAGCATGATCTCGTCCAACTTTTTACAACGGATCGATATTAATGCACAGGGCAAACTGCTGAGCTGCGTCGACCTCAGCTGGCCATGTCTCGAGCACACGGCCATCCACGCCAAGGTATGTCTGGCGCGGAAACGTCGGGTAAATGTCACTAGGCACCACAAAATAGAGCACCGCGGGACCCGCTTGTTGCAACATGCGAGAGATTGCCAGCCGCAAGCCTTCCGATTGGACTGGGTGCGATCGGCTGGCAGTCATCTGCAGAATGACATTCGGAGAAAGAATGGCGTCGACAGCTGCCAAATTACGAGTGGTCGGACTGTAGTAACGGTTGGGGATGCTGAGATCAATCTCAGTCAGCTGACGGAAATTGATGCAAGTGAGCGGCCGCAACTGCAACTCGTCACCGACGCCTGTTTCAAGATGACGTCTAGGGAATGTGCCACCTGTCTGAAGACAATTGGACGCGTACTCCTCAAAAAGCTGCCCACGGAGCGATGCGTGCCGTGGGCTGTCCTCCGCAGCGCTGAGAAAGCGCCGAAGTCGATCTCTCTCCTCGGTCCGGAACTTTCGAAAAACTTGCTCGCTAACCCATTTGGAGGCAAACCTCAGGCGGTAACGCGAATAGGGTAGAATACGCCTGCCGCACTCATCAACAGGCCGGTTGGGATCGAGGGGCAGTACCTCGATATGGAGCACACGATGCAAGATGCTGTTCTCACTTGCCAGGTTTTCGACGTCAGAGTTGATGACCTTTTGAAAGACGCATCCAGCAATGGCGTCCTGGATACGTTGACGACCGCCAAGCTTTGGATGCAGTACCTCACGCGCGATGCCACCCCAGCACAAAAACACACTTCTGGCAGACTGCAAGTACGCGCCGGCCTCCCGTGTAGCCATGGTTGTTGCAAACCGTTGCAAGTAAGCCTCGATCTCGAGTTCTGACCACACTGGCATGAACAGCACAAAACCGCCGTCCTTTTCAAGCTCCTTGTAAATTGGGCGAAACGGGTTTGTGACGAGCAGAACTTTAGCGGAGCCGTAGCGACGTGGGGGATTGGCATCTACAATGAGCCAGACTTGTCCGTTGCGGAGAGTGTCCTTAACACCATGGTGGCTGTAAGAAGCAGACCCATCGGCACGCAAAAGATAACGCCGCTCTTGGTACCTTCCCGTAGCAGCCGGCTCATAGACAAACGGCAACGAAACATTGTTTTCCCTGTTCTGCCGAAAGATGCGGTACAAAAAGTACGCCGAGAAGGCTGTCTTGCCGATGCCAGGGTTGCCAGTGACAATCCAGTTCGTCCAAAGCGCGTTTGCAGCGTCGGTGATCACGTCGAAGAGTCCTTCGTAGCTCTCGCGAACCACGAGGACGGAACCCAAATTAGGATTGCCCAGCCAGAACACGTTTGCAGGAAGAACTAGGAACAGTACGCTGACACTCTCGAGTTCGAGTCGCTGCTCGTTCACCTCGCCACGATGAAGCGCGCGCCAAAATCTGGCAAGCTCGTCGTCCTCGTCCACTACCAACCGGGGGGTCACAATGTGAGCAAGCAGTGCTGCTCTCAGTCTCGAAACCTCCAAACAGAGAGAACAATACTCACACGGAAGCTCGCCTTGAAGTTGGATCGTAAGCCGCCGATTTTCTGCTTGAAGAGCTACAAGTGCTTGATGATCTGTCATTCGGTTGACAACAAACACGCGCAAACACATTGATAGTGAGGCTCCATGTGCAAGACCAAGAACTGGACAAGGCTGACAAACCTTCACTAGGGCCTGGTTGAGCATTGACCCGTGCAAGCAAAAGTTGAGTCGTGGGGGCAATAGTTGCCTGCCAGCTCTGCGCTTGATTCGCATACTGCTGCTCCTGTGCGACATTTTCTGCATCGCGTGCAGCCGTTGCAAGGTCCTCGTAGTGTCGCACACGTTCGCGGCTTTCCGCCAGTGTTGTATTCAATCGGGCAATCTCGGCTTCCAGCCTTTCTCGCCCGACCGCGGCCGGCGGCAGTTGCTCCACGCGGGCGCGCTGGACTTCGCTCGGAGAACGGTCTGCAGCTGTGGGCGAGAGCGGCCGCCGAACAGAAATCTCTTGGCGGTCTTGGCGGTCTTGGCTGTGCGACATTCGACAAAAGAAGAAAGAAAAAAAAAACAATACAGACTGTTCATCCTAGTTCATGCATTGCATTTTGAACAAACCACGCACTGTTGTCTCTCAGCACGGAAACCTCTCACGAGGTAAAAACAACGCAGGAGAAGTGGGCGTTGCGTGACAAACAACGCATCAAAAGTTGCCAAGTGACGTGAACGAGCTCAAACCCCTTTCACCCCTCTCCCCCTCACTTTTAGACCCATTCCCGACCTCCTCCTGCCTTGCCCTTGTTCAAGTATGTCCGAATTAATCTCTAGTCTCAATAGGAACCGTTGCAGGGTTACTTATTTTGTCGGTACCTCTTCAGCATCGACACCAAGTTCCAAGGCTGAGGAGGGTCTCTCAGTATGTGAGAACACTCTGTCAATGCAATTCCCAGTTGATAGACACATGGCTCAGTTCTTATTATTTTTTTGATAACTTTCACAATAATCGAAAATGGCAGCTCCAGCAGCACCCGGCAATGCTGGCAATGGCGCCGCTGAGGAAGTCGAGCGCTTTGACGCAACGTCCATGCGCTTCAACACTGCCGTCATCGGACGCATCCGCACCGGCGCTGCAGTCATCAGCGGAAGCACTGCAGGCATCCTCGGGCTCACGGTACGCGAGTCAGACAAGCAGGCAGCAGTGTGGACAGACGAGGGACGAGGGACGAGGAACGGCGGCGATATTCTCGACTCACTCACACACTCACTCACACACACTCACTCACAGACTCACTCCGATGATTTAGTTCACTAACCGCATTTGCGTGTGCTTTGGTTCTGCTTTTGGGCGTTTGTTGGTGCTCGCGGGGGCGGGGGGTGCAGGGTCTCTATGGCTTTGGCTTTTACTTTGTCGCATCGCTCCTGCTGTCCTTGCTCCTGTTCGTCAAAGTACGAGATAAAACAAACCGGAACTTGGTTTGGAAGTGTGAATTGTCATTGTGGTTGTTTTGCTGAAGGTTGGGGGGAAAGACAGATTGTAAACCGTTGAACTTCCACTCACTTGTTCTATTGAATCGCTGATCCCGCCTCACTTGATCCTCGGAAACGAATTCAAAACATGGGACATCTATTACTGCTACTACCGCTTCCTACTTGCTACCTGGACGCTTTCATCCGACCCCTCAGGCCAAACGCAATGTTGCCGCTCACTTTAGCTCACCGTCGGCCATCACGACCGATGGACTGTTTGACGGACTCTCAACCTACGTGTTGCTATGGACGTTCATGTACGGCATGGTGCACGTGTACTAATAATTCAAAATGCAATTTTGGGTTGAGCTCTGGAGTCGTGCACATCTGGCCATGGTGTTTCTTGTTTGTGTTTGTTTTGGATGCCTTTATGGTCAGAGGAAACGCCACCAAGCCACCACAACAGCACTCTCATATGTACTCGGCAAGCAAAATGTAGTATTGGTTGTACTCGTCGTCCGACATTTGGGCGATGAGCTCGTCTGTGATTTCGTGAAGCGGGTAGGGCCGCCCACCAACAAGCGCCTACATTCGCAAAAAATATGACGATGAGAAACCCAGAAGCGGAACATGCCTATGCGCCTCAGCAAGCAAGGACGGGCCACTTACCAACGCAGTGTCGCTGCTGGATTGAGATAAATCGCCATCGGCTCCAAGAGCGGAAACTGCCATGGGGCTGGCCTCGTCTGGCATTGTCTCGAGCACTCGGTTGATGTGGTGCCGCCGCTCCCTTTCTTGCATTTCGCGCAAGTAATCGCTGTACTTTTGAGGGTCGTGGTGCAGTGATTCTCGCTCTTCTTCGTCGTCGGCTCGGAATCGCTTTACTGGCTGGACAGCTGTGCGAAAGAAGCAGGATGAGTCAGCATACCGTTGATTTCCATCACATGTCTTTTCAACAAAGACCATAGCAGCTGTGTTGCATCTACCTGTCGGCTCGTCTTCGACATAGATGGTCGATTTTTGCATCCATATTGGCGGAGCCTTGGCTTTCAACTACAAAGAAAGATCCATCGACAAGTTCAGTTGAAAAAAAACTAAACCAGGCGGCAACAATGACTTACAGGTGCTTTACTCGAATCTGCCAGCTGGACGGCCATGTTGTCGGTTGGCAAGGAGCCCATTCCACCTGCTGGTCGACCAGACCGCCACTGGAGAGCTGGAGCAGCTGATGGCGCCTGATATACGTCGGCAGTTGAAACTTTCGCATACATGGCATCTTCAGGGGCCTAGCACAAACAGCGATGCCATCCACAGGGTGTGAGTAATCAAAAAATCAAAATTGGCGAGAAAAGCAGCCAGAACAGATCAGCCCCGCTCATCCTTACTTGTGGTAGCTGAATGCCTGCATACCCCTTGTCGTAGAAGGTAACTTTGTCTACTTCCTTGATTTTGAGCACCAGCTGACGGATTTGCTCGTTGAAGCGAGATTCGCGCGCGCCAATGGCGTGGCTGAGCTTGATGGCGTGGTCGTCAGGGACAACATCGCCGCCGCAAAAGTAGCACAGCAGACGGCCGTCGTGGTGAAGAATCACGGGGTCGCGGTTGGGGATGCTGGGATTGTGCAGCTGCTGTTGCAAAATGTCCTGAGCCTTGACAATGTCGACTTCGGTCGAGCCGCGGCCGCACTTGGCACACTTGTACTTGGCCATGCTCATGTCGGCAGTCTCGGCGAGTCGAGCGGTTTGCTGGCGCAGTAGCTGGTTGATTTTGTGCAAGCGATACTTGACGACGTTGACCAACGACTCATAGTCGACCACGTACGAGATAATGTCTGCCTTTGAGTACTTTTGCTCGGGCGTCTTGACCTGCTTTATTTTGACTTCCTTGATGAATCTGTTGCTTCGCAGCACTGCGATCGTCTTGTTCAGCTGTGCAAGCATGGCAAGTGAGCGAAAACACCGACAAAAAAGACATAGTTGCTGAGCAGTGTTTTGAAGATCCTGTGCGATTGTAAACGTTACCGAGGCCTTGTCTTTGTCGAGCTTGAAGAACTTCATGAGATCCTCCTCGGTGACTCTTGACAAGTAAGGACGGATTCAATGTGAAACGTCAGAATGGGCAAACAAAAAGAGCTCCTTCTAGTTCTTCTCAAATTTCCACCTTGTCCAACTGATCTCGATCCGCATCAGTATCAAGAGCTGTATCAACACTTACTGGTTGTAGCGTAGAATGGTGTCGAGCATGACGACGCAGTCTGGCGGGTAGAATGCTCTGACAGCGAGCAAGGCGACGTGCTTGATGCAGACGGGCACTTGGTCGTCGTCGTCGACGTAGCCAGCAACGCCATACGTGAGCATGGACAGCGACGAGTCGGCTGAGCCAGCATGAGCTTGAGCTTGAGCCTGAGCCTGAGCTTGAGCAGTGGATGGCGTTGGAGTGGCGACACGCGATGCGAGCGCAGACGACCCAGCAGAGCCAGACGGACCAGCAACAGAGTCGGATGAGCCCATGTTGGCATTGGCAGCAGTGGATGAGGCCGACCCGATGGGCGATGGGACGACGACGGGACCCGCCAGTGGAGTTCCATTGCCAATGCTATTGCCACTCATGCTACTCGTGCTGTACTCGTGCTACTCGAACTACTTGTGCTCTGTGATGCGATCAATGTTGGCATCAACAATGACACTTTTTACAATGAGTGAACGAACACACGCAATTGGAAAGAGAGAAAAGAAAAAAGAAGAAGAATAAAAAGTCTGAGAAAGTAAGAGAAAAAAAGGACTGCGGGTTTAGGAAAATTTTGGAGAGGGAAAAGGTCAGCATGCGCTACTCAACACAGAATGCCCATCCATCTCATGAGTGGGGAACGTCTGTTGAAACGGAGGATGAACAACAGCAGCACAGAGATTTAACCTGAACGTTCTTACTGCACTGTATTCTGTATTGCGATCATCATCATCTTTCAGTCCTTATTCAGTCTTTGTTATTTCTTGGTCTCCATCCATTTGCGAAGATGGCTGGCGTCGCCGCGTCGTCGTCGTCGGATCCCTCGCGCTGGGTCGACTACTTTGCAGTGTTTGGCGTCAACTCCAATGGTAATCCCATACAAACCCCAACCCCATAACCCCATAACCCCCTGAACCCTTGTAGCTCTTTGATTTCCAACTTACATCCTTGTTCTCTCTCCCTCTCTCTCTCTCTCTCTCTCTCTCTCTCTCTCTTTGTGCCAGACATTGAGGAGCAGCTCGCCGCCCGCTCATCCTCATCCACTGCTGCCGCTGCTGCTGCTCTGTCGTCGTCATTGACCAGCACCCGCGCCCCTTCGCCTGCCAATGCACCATCATCATCAACATCAACATCAACAACATCAACAGCAGCAGGGACGGCCTCTGTGAGTGCTGCTGCGCTGGCTGCGAATCCAATCCCGCTCGATCCCCAAATCCAGTCCCGCTACCCGCCACAGGACCACCCCGGCGCGCCATTCCCAAAGATGGCCTCACTCGTAAGCAGACAACAAGCGCATAAACACTCACACGCTTATTGTGTGGCTGGACCGCCGTCCTTGCAACAACATCCTTGAGCGGGGACTTTTGAGCGAGTTGAGTCGTGTGAACGGTGTTCACGTCACACTCGTCCGATGCGCTCCGTCGACCGCCCTTCCAGTGAGATGCATTCGTCTCTGAAAGGCTTGGTGCATGTGCAAGAAGCGTGTTTGAGTCGCAAGGGGGAACATTGTGTGGAACATTGTGGAAGAGCAGCGCGGTGGACAAAATCCCAAAATGGATAAAGCCACGCTCTGAGCTCTGAGATCTGAGCACTGAGAAGGAGGGTGAGAGGGAGGGTTGCGGAACTCAACGTTGTGAACGAGATCAACGCGGATCACGAGAATTACGAGAAAACAAGCATTTGGGAACGATTGGAAGGAGCTTCAAGCTATCTGAGATTTGAAAGATCTTCTGAGCGATCTGAGTCTACACAATGCGCACTCCTGAGAAGCAGTGATGCGAGGCAATGGGAAAAGGGGGGGAAAATCGCGTGATTTGGAATGACAAAAACATGCAGAACAACAAAGATCAGGCAAAGTCTCAGAACGAGGGATCAATTCACAACATCGCCGCAACCCATGCTTGAAGAACAAGATCGCGACAGACCCTTTGACACTTCACTTAAATGATGATCATCACCACTCTGCTACAGTTTTGCCAGCCTTGCGGATGGACGACGCACACTGAATACGCAGAGCCTGCATTCAACGTCGCAGTGCTGAGCGAGGCGGACGGCCTTTGCTACTATGTCGCCTCGTTGACGTTCTGGGAGCAAGTAGCCACACTGCCTGCAGCAACAACTGCTGCCAACAACAGCGGCTCCACCACTGACCTCCCCCTTCGCCGAGCCCCAAGCCCGTCGCCGTCGTTGATAACACGATCCACTTCGTCGCTCACTTCTTCGAGCACGAGACCCAACAACACCGCGTCTGACGCTGTGAGCCAGAGCAACTCGGCGTCAACCAACGCATCTGTCGCAGAGAGCATTTACGTTCCCAAGGCAATCTGCCTGATTTCGCGCCATCCCTTCTTTGACGCCTTCCGCCAGAGTCTGTGCCACATTTTTCTGTCTGCGCAGCAGCTCACCAGCATTTCTCCCGCATCTGTCTTCAGTGTGAGTCAGGACACACTCGGTCATGCGGAGGCAGCCACCACCTTTGCAAACCGCCAGGGCGGAATCAACGCCGAAATTCTGGCTCATATGGCCGCGCGCATTGTCAACGACATCCCGTTGCCTCCGGTCGGTGGGGCCAAAGTCGCAGTCCAATTTGGAGGCAAAACCAGCTTGCAACCTACACCCGCCACGCCAAGCGCTGCGCCCAGTCCTCGGCAACCACGAGACGGCGACCAGAACAGCTCGTCTGCGGCGGCGCGCGATGGTGGTGTGGTCTCTTCGAGTGCCTCTTCGGCTGCCGCAAGCACCATCTTCCTCCAGCGAAACCCTCCTCGCCTCCTCCCAGATTGCCCCGTTTCCGTCGCAAGCGTCTTCCGAGCCCTTGACGTGAACAATACGCTGCTGGTGCTCAGTGCCATTCTCACCGAGCAGAAGGTGGCCTTCATCTCATCATCGCACGCCCAACTCACCAAAGTGTCCATGGGCTTGTTGGCGCTGATGTACCCGCTCGTCTACCGCTACGTCTACATTCCAGTGTTGCCGCGCCAACTGCTTGAAGTCCTGTCGGCGCCCACGCCCGTCATCCTGGGCCTGCATACCTCCTTTTTGCTCGACGCCGAAATCTCGGGCGAGCTCGACATTGCCAGCCTGGACGACATGGTCCAAGTCGATGTGGACAACAACCGCGTGTACATTCCCCCGTCCATCAAAGTGCCAGATCCGCCGTACCGTGCTACCGCTCGGCTGCTCACGCGATTGCGCGAAATTCTCTACCCGGATGTTGTCTTCTCGGACGACGCCTTCACGGGCACTCGCCACCAGCACGTGCAAGCCGCTACTCGCGCTGCCACAGAAACGACAGTGACAAGGTGCTTTGCCTCGGGCGCTAGTTGCTCGCCGGCATCCAAGGCAGCGCTGACCAAGCAGCTAGATACCGCTGCCATTGTCGAGTTGGAAATCCGGTTGGCCTTTTGCCGCTTCTTTGTGTCCATCTTGCATCGGTACCGCGAATTCCTGGCCGTCGTGCGGGTCCATCCGACGCCGCGCGTTGTGTTTAACGGTCCTGCCTTTGTTCGGAGTGTGGCCATGGATGGCTCGGGCCTGTCCTCGATGCCACAGAATGGTGGCGCGAGCGCGGCCAAATCCGGCGGCCTGGCACAGTCCGATCAGGATGGTGCTGGCCGCGATACCGACTCCCACCCCGACACGGATGTGGCTGCTGCTTTGGCCGAAGCCGCACAGTCGACACGCAATCGCAGTCAGACCTTCAGCTCATCGGGATCCGCGGTATCTATCGCCCGTAAGCTCGTCCAGCTGGGCAGTGCGCCTGCTTCGGACAGCACGAGTGCGAGCAGTGACTGGGACCGCCGCTCGCTGAATTCGCATGCTGCCTTCCATCACGTTCACCGCTCCACTGAAGAAACTGCGTCGATGAGGGCTTCCTTGACCACCACCCGTGGGTACCATGGTTTTGCGTCGTCCAGCCTCGCCGCCCCTTTCGTGGAAGCTCTGGTTTCGGGAAATTGCTTCTCATACTTTATCGAGGTCTACGGAGCACCCAACCGCGACCGTACGTTCTTTGACGATTTTGTGGACCAGTACAATTTGGATTCGCGAGTGCGGATTACGGCAGCCGACTGTCTCGCCCGCGACATGATGAGTTATCCCCTCGACCCCGTCTTTGTGCACATTCCGCGCATGGCCGAGCTCCTTGCGGATGTCGCCGACAGCATCGCGGCCACCGCCGTGTTGTCCGCTCCTTTGCCGGGCGCCGAACATGCCGCAAAACCGATTCCACAGCTGACGACGACTTTGGTGGAAGCTTCGCCGCTCGCGTCACTGGCGCCGGCTGTTCTGCAACGCCTTCTTGTCGTCGCCGATGGCGCGTCCGCTCAGCCCTTCCAGTCTGGGATGTCGTCGCGGTGCAGCTGTGATTTTTCGCAGTGCGAGCAAGAGGGCAGTGCCCTGCACTACGGATCAGCGCAACAACGCCTCGTCGCAGCTTGCAGGACCACCCTGTTTGCGCTCTCGGCGATTTCTGGTCGTTCGCACATCCCGTTTGTTGCCGACACGGACACCGAGTCCAGCACAGTCCTTCACGGCAGTGCAAGTGCGCCGGACCCTTCGTCGCCAATGTCGCCGACGTTGAAGATCTCGCACGCCCAAGCTCTGCAATCCGAATCGTCGCTTGACGGTGCTCTTGAAAGCACGGATGCTTTTGCCCAACCAGTCCCGTCGTCGTCGACACTGATGCACCGCACAACGCTCTTGCGCTCCGTCTCGATGGGCTCGCCTCCGAAAGCACAATCCGGACTGGTGCGTCGTCGCAGCGCGCTTCGCTTGCTGGACGTGCTGTCGAGTCGAACGCGTGATCCTCGAGCGCGACACGGAGGCACGTTGCAAGACCAGCGAGAATTGCTTTCCAGATTCTTTGATCTCTTGTTTTCAGAGCAAATTCCGGCAGCCTGTGAAATTCTGGCCCCGATCAAGCGCATTTTGAAGGACGAGTCCGCTCGCATTCACTTTTGCCACATTCTGCGGCTCAAAGAGCGCGCAGCCGCCGCCAATCTTGCATCCGGCGGCAAGACTGCGCTGTCGCGCGAGCAGTTTGCAGTGTTGGCATCGCTTGCCAATGTCATGCTGGCCGACGAGTACATTAACGAAACGACCACTGCGACGCTGCTGGCAACGCTTTCGCAGCACTTTTTCCGCATGACTGGCGGCATGCAAGAGTTTTTGTGGCACAAGATTGCCAGCCACGAAGTGTGGCGCAATGACGCCTTTTGGAAGAACTCGTTCTTTGAGCAGATGGAAGAGCGCTTGGCTCTCGTTTACTCGAGCAACAATTCTGCCGCAAAAGACCCTGCCGCCACTACTCGCCCGGCGTCGACAACCTCGAACCTTCCCATTTTCAGCTCACTGGCCCCCGCCGCGTTCATTGATATTGACACGCTGGTGGTTCGACGAACTGCCGAGTGGGATGCTCTCGATTCCCAGGCGCGCGACGCCACGTTCCAGATGGAGGAAGACTTGGTGTTTGAACAACTCCAGCAGCACGCCACGTCCATGGTCTCGCTGATGGGCAATCTGCAAGAGGTCGCACAACTGACAGAGTCGATTGCTCAAGAGTGCAACCTCGCACCCGATCGTATCGATCAACTGATGATGCTGGTCGAGCAGCTTGCCACTCATCATGAGCTCATCCGTCAGCAACTCAAAGAAGAGTACGCCAAAACACCCGACATTGACTCCATCCGTCTGTCAACCGCCTCCGTGCCGTTGCTCGAGGGGGAGATGCTCTTTTTCCAAGCACCCAAATGCTTGCTCCTGACGACTGCCAAGGAGAACGGCCTCGAACCAGCGGAAGGGACACTGTTTGTCACCAACTACCGGCTGATCTTTCGTGGATTTACGTGCAAGCACTCGGTCGCCGCTGCGACCGCCGATCTCAAGCAGCTGATGCTCACCCGCTCCGTGCCGCTTTCCTCCATTTTCAAAATCACCAAAACATCACTCATGTTTGACTCTGAGCACGAGCGGTGGGTTCCCGAGGGTCTTGAGATTTACAGCAAGAGCATCCAAGTCATGCGACTCTGCTTTGATGACAATGGGCCCAATTCCTCGCACTCCATCACGTCCATGATGTACAAGATGATCAAAAACCGCGCTACACCGACGCTGGCCAACGAGCTGTTTGCCATCTGTTCCGGCCGGCAGAGCGACCCGACGAGCAAGAACTGGACTGCGCATGTGGTGAGAGGGTTTTTTTTTTGTTTGTTGGATGCCATTTTGTTGGATATGCGCGCTGGTTTGACTCTCACTTTTCGTCTAATCTGTTTTTTTTTCTCTCTCTCTCTTTCGCCACTCGACAGATATCAGACTTTACCCGCATCGATCCAAACATTGGGTTGACGACTGCTTCGCCATTCCGACTGACGAGCGAAAACCGGCACTTCCAACTGAGCTCGACCCTGGGTCCAGTGCTTGCCGTGCCTCGCACGCTCACAGACCTCGAGCTCGGGGCAGTGGCCGAATTCCATGTCGATCGCCGCTTGCCGACGGTGAGCTGGGTGCATCCGACGCATCGCAGTATTGCCCTGCTACGCTCTGGCATGACAAAGAATCGCCGCGGAATCGCCGGAAAGCGTTGCGTCGAGGATGAAAAGTATATCAAAGCAATTGTTGCCGCTGCTTCGCCCGCCGTCCAGTCTGTGCGTCATGCAACCACAGTGACGGCTCCAGCTGGGGGTGATGCGAAAAAGCCGACGGACGATTCGTACCCGGCGCTGTATATTTTGACGGAACGGGCCCAGTCTCGCTCGTTGGTGCCATCCCGCTCGCAGGATGCCGACAGCGAGTTTGACGTGCCCTTTTACCCGCGCGTGGAGTTTCTGTACCTCGACCATTTGGGATCGAAAGGCCCACTCCAGCCCAAGGACGCACAGCTGGCCCTGGAGCGCCTCGTCCATGTGTGCTGCCGTGCTCCCGATGACCAGCTCTTGTCGCAAATTGAGGAGACTGGCTGGCTTGGTCTTGTCTCGAGCGTGCTGGATGCGGCCTCGCTGACGGTGAGTCTGATGGAAACCCTCCGCGCATCCGTGCTCATCAGCCTAGAGAAGGGCACGGCGCAGACTGCCATTATCGTGTCGCTCGTCCAAATCATGTTCGACCCGTACTACCGCACCATGGAAGGCTTCTTTACGCTCATTCAGAAAGAGTGGCTGGACGCTGGGCATCCTTTTGCCTTGCACGGCGGCCATACGACAGCGAGCTCGGACTCTGCCCGTGCCCCGTACTTTTCCCTGTTCATTGACGCTGTCTGGCAAATCACGCGCCAATTTCCAACCAGCTTTGAGTTTAACGAAGTCTGGCTTGCGCATATTGGCTTTCATGAGCACGCCCTGCGTTTTGGCACGTTTTTGCTCAACTCGAAAAAGGAGCGCGACGAGCCCGGGTCGACAGGCGAGTGTTTGTTTGCTCGACTGGCTGCGGCCCATCGCGAATCCGCCGTCTTTTTCAACTTTTTGTACGCTCCCCCAGCCTCGTGTGAAGGCGTGGCGCCGTCTCTGCAAAGCTCTTCTTCGAGCTCGTCTTTCGATTCCTTTGCGCTTCGCTCGACTGCCGACTGCATTCGGCCAAGCTCTGATGTTGCCGCGCTCGCAGTGTGGGCATACCAGTACCTTACTGCAGAGACGGAACGCTTCGAGTTCCGCCCGGGCCATGACGAGCAAGGGCCATTTGGATCGATGGTGGCTCTTCTGAAAAAGATGACGGCCGTGGACGTGTTTGGTGTGAGTGAACCAGCGCTGTCGGAGAATCAGCCTGACGATGGCTGGCGTGGGGTCTGGCGCGAGCTAGAGTCGGCCAAGTGGCATCAACAACAGGAGGATCCTCTGCAGGAATTTGTGGGGTCGAGACCCGCGCTGGAATGTGTAACCGTCTACGGCAGGCAGCCTGCACATCCACTCCTCAAAGGACGACTCCCCGAGCACCTCGAACCGCTCTACGTGCTGCCTCATCGATTCGGGCTCTATACTTACCGCGCTCCGACCATGTGCGACCACTGCGGGACGGTTTTGTGGGGTCTCGTTCGGCAAGGCTTTAAATGCAACGACTGTGGCTACAATACACACGAGCGCTGTCTCTCGCAAGTACTGAGCACCTGCTCGTCGTTCAAGCGTGCGACTGCGACCGTCATCAACACGGCTCTTGGCAGTGCCCCTGCACTGCAGCAGCCCGTCGCTACACTGGCAGCGATCGCCAACTCGCCCGTGGAGTTGCTGCAGCGGAAACTCGCTGCAGTGACTACGGCCCCGGCCCCTACCCCATCAAAGTGTCGCCGCACCCCTGCACCACCCGGCCCGATCTCGACGATTTCAGATCTCCTCAAGGCATCCGGGTCGCTGAATCCGCTCGGCCTGCTCCTTGGATCTCGTCAAGCCAGCAAGCCCCAAGTGGACGTTGCGCTCGTCGAGACAAAACCTTCCCGTGCAAGTGGCTCGAGTACCGGATATGACGAAGATGGTGATGAGGGTTCTGCTGCAGCCTCGGCGCTCAGCTGGATCGAGGTGAGCGCGGTTGATGGTAGCACGGAGGACGTGAAGCCAACTGCGCCGCTCACTGGGCGCTCGCACCTCAACTCGATCGGCGGCAAGGCTGGCTCTGGATTGCCGCGGCTGGGCAGTGTCAGCATTGGCGGTGTCGCGGTGGCGACTGCCGATGGTCCTCGGCGTGCAGCACAACAAACAGCGCTCGAGGTGCTGGGATCGCTGGATGAGCAACAAGCCGCCGGCGAAGGTGGAACGCCGTCAAAGGTGCCCTCTACACCAACCGCCCCTCGTAGTGTCACGAGAGATGGGTTTGTTCCAGAAATGCGCAAAGCTTCGGCCTCCATTTCGGTGCAGCGCCAGTCCTTGGCACCCGATACGGACAGTTTGCTGGACGAGGTGGCTGTTGTCGCACCTCAAGGCCCTGCTGCGGCGACAGGTGTGGTCGATATCACTATGGAAGGCGAACTTTGGAAGATGGGCGGCGCCATCCACTCGTGGCAGTGTCGTCACTTTATCCTGGACGCTGGCTCCTACCGTCTGCTCTACTATGAAGCGCTGAAGACTGGCACGAAGAAGTTTAAGGGAGAGGTCGATTTCAGGAAGGTGTCCCGCGTCACCGAGCTGACGACGTCGCCGGGCGGTATTGGTGCGAAAGGCCGTGAAGCGAACGGAAGCTACTTTGAAATTGCCACCGACGAGCGCACCTTTTACTTCCTGGCGCCGAGTCCCGAGTCGCGCAGCCAATGGATGCGGCAGCTGAACTCATTGTTGGTGCATATGCGTCAGGCCGGTGTGAATAAGCTGTAAAATGTATGAATGTGTTACGTGAACTAATGAACAAGAACAAAACAATAGCAAAGCTCACAGAACCAAAGTCTTGACGAACGTCCCTTCTTGAAACAAAGTCGGAATACATGACAAATCATGCACTTGTGTTGACGCTTAATCATCGTTTGAGCACATGCAACGCAAACACATGCGTGGCAGCACGGCATCAGCTGCACGCACGATCGCTGTCCGACCTCACTTCCGATCAGTTTTCGGAGTCTAGCTGCGACTGCATGCTGGCGTTCACGACAATCGAATTTGTCATAGGAGATAGTTGCTCCTTGATGGCGCTGTGAGGATGACTCAGTCGTGAGATTGATTCAGCGCTGACCTCTGCAGATTGTGCGTGCTGCTGCTGCTGCTCCATTCGAGAACGAACGAGATCCGAATCCAGATGAGGTTGCAACTGCTCTTCGATGCTACTATGGTGATGCTCCATCCTGGGTTCCTGAGGCATTGTAGCATGAGCATGCGCGCTGCCCTGATCGACAAATTGGCTTAGCTGTGTCAGAATGTCGCGGAACGACGGTCGATCAACTCGTGCGAGTTGGAGGCAATCCTCCGCAAGCTCTGCCATGGCATGCGCCGATTCTTTGTCTTGAGGGCTCCAATCAATTGCCTTGTCAAGCACTGCATCGATTTTACGGCTCCGTTTCAGCTCGCGTCGAACATTGGCGATCAGGTCGAGGCTGGGTGGCTGTCCAGTCAGCAGCTCAAGCAGAATCATGCCATACGAGTACACGTCTGTCTTGATGGAAACCTTGCCGTCCTGGTGGTACTGTGGGCAGATGTACTGGTATGTTCCTGCAATTGTTTTCGTTTTGATGTAGCTGTGAGCATCCACTTGAGCTGGTATGGAGCGAGTCAGACCGAAATCGGCGACCTTTGCGTTGAAATGAGCGTCCAGCAGTACATTGTCTGTCTTGAGATCCAGGTGGAACAGCGGCTGACGCGGAATCGCAGTCTGGACAAAGTGCATAGCATTTGCAATATCGGTCGCAATGTTTCGGCGCTGCTGCCAGCTTAATGCAGGCGTCCCATCCTTGCGATCAAGACGATCGCGAATCGAACCGTTTGCCATCAGTTCGTAGACCAAGCAGCGCTCCTTGCCTTCCTGCGCAAAACACATAATGGTGACAATGTTCGGGTGACGGAAACGTGACAGAGCTTTGAGCTCGGCCTCGAACTGAGGGGCACCTTGAATTGAATCCGCTGCCAACCGTTTGACGGCAACTCGCTGACCGCTCCACACACCAGAGTAGACTTTGCCAAATCCACCGCCACCGATGCGCTTGGACTCTGAAAACTGCGCTGTTGCTTGCGACAGAACTTGCAACGACACTCGCGGAATGGTATTGGATTCCAGTTGAGCAATACGCGCCTGGAGTTGACGAACTTGCTCAGACGTCGGATCAGACGCAGCGAGAGGCGCGCTGGCAGTATTGGATCGAGGAGCTGGTGTGGGTGCGACACGAGATGAACTCGCGAGAATGCTTGCACGTTGAACGCGGACGCGCTGATTTTCGGCCCTGGAATTGAATCAGTCAGAAAGACAGTAAAGGTCACAAACACCCGCAAGACAAGGGCACTCACCAGAACTCGCATTTTGCCGGAAGATTGTTGGATAAAACCTTAACGACACTTGAAGAGATCCGGTTGTCCCACAAACTGTTGCAAGCGAACACGACGCTCGGTATTCGATGGCTCATGTTGCTGCATCAAGTTGTTCATGGAAGACCCGCACACCTATCACCCCCCCTGTACCGCAACAGAACGTACTAGAGAATAGACAGATTCGCCATGTTTCGAAGTGCAGATCCAATCGCCTGTGCTCCCGCATCGCCAATCTGATTCTTGAACAGCCTATGCAGCCAAACATCAGAAACGTTTCATCGTTGAGCAAAGACCGAGATCCGACAAAAACTCAAACGTGCGACGACAATACCAGAGCTCAGTGAGCTCAGACGACGTCTGCAGGCCTTTAGCGATGGCACAAGCTCCAATGTCACTAATCTTGTTCTCGCTCAAGCTGCATCAATTCGATCAAGTCAGAGCCTCGTGACCAACAGCCCATGTGACAGCGCCCGAACGTACTTGAGGATTGACAAGTCCTCCTTGGTTCGAAGCGCAGATCCGATCGCCCGTGCTCCTGCGTCGCCAATTTGATTGACTGACATCCTATGTCAGATAAACATCAGTAGCGACCATTACTGAGCAAAGACCGAGCTGCGACAAAAGCTCAAACGAGCGACCAATACCTCAAGTCAGTCAGTGCAGTCGACGTCTGTAGGCCTTCAGCGATGGCACGAGCTCCAGCGTCACCGATCTTGTTTTGGCTCAAACTATGTCAGATCGCTCAAGTTAGTGTCACGCGCCCAATAGCCCCGGTGACACCACCAGAACGTACTAAAGAATTGACAGATTCGCCTTGTTTCGAAGCGCAGATCCGATCGCCTGTGCTCCTGCATCGCCAATCTGGTTGTCATACAGACTTTTTGATACCATACACGTCAGATCTTCTTGAGCAACTCATTTCCTTGCTCCTCCTGCCTTACGTAAGCACCTGCAGATTGTTGTTCTCCTTGAGACCCTCGGCAACGACCAAAGAATCTTCATCGGTAATCCCCGAGCTGCTGAGGCTATGGGAGATGCCGCGAAATACACTAAGTCTGTGCGCAGCAACGACCACGCCTCGGCCTGAGACGATACTTACATGACACAACTGGAAGACTTGGCTATTTCAAATAGCTCACGCTGCCGTGATGAATATGAAGCACCCATCTACAAAGGCCAAATAGTCAGTCAAAGATGTCGCTGCTAGGGCGATTCCAAGTTCCACTCCCTCTCCCCTCCCCTCCTCTCATTGCAGTCCACGACGGTGCAGTCCACTCTCAAGGTGACTTGCTACGCTTCATTCATCGCCCTTGTCATGAGACTCGACGACAGAACGAAATGATCATTCGTGAAGCGAGCTTTTGCTTTTCTAAATCACTTTGAAGGCCGCTCCAACTCCAACACTTCCCCATCTGCTTCACACCCACCACGACCATCGCCCACGTCAACACGAGCTGAATCAAGCTGAGTCGAGCTGAGTCAAGCTGGTCGATCGGCAACACTGGTGCCTGGGCCTCGGCGATAGCGCGGACCGAGCACGCGGTTTCACCCAAACTCAAACCCACAAAAGACTCCGACACCAAACACCGACATCAACGAGACATGGCGCGCTGCCACGATAGACTGGTGGATGAGATTATGTGTGTTTGGGTGTTGATGGCGGACATGACGGTCGCACAAAGACCAGAAGCAAAGCAACTGCTGAGTGGGAAACACAGCAAAACAACATTCAGCAACAACAACAACAACAACAACAACAACAAAGCAGGTCGATCAACCTGAACTTGGAAGAGCAAAAGTGAACAAGAAAAACCAAGAATGAACATGTCACACAAAAACATTGGATGGAAGCGGAAAAACACACCAGAGTCAAAGGAGCGGTTTGGCAAATTCGGCTGAGCGACTGCGGAGAGCGCTGCTTTTCAGTTTGCTCTGGTTCAGCAATAAAAAACAATTTGCACACTTCAACCCCCCACAACTCTTGATCAAATTCTTGGTCACAATCCTACGTCTTGCTGGCGGGACCGTGACACTCAACCTGGAGCAGGCTGACATGCCGAGCCTTGCTGTGATTGTTGTAGTGCTCTCGTTGCTCACTTTCGAGTGCTTGATTTCACAATAACGCTGCAGACGACTCATTTGGAAGGCGCAAAACCTGACCTCCAAATACAGACCAATGGATGGGTCATTATTATTTGTCAACAACCCCCTCCCAATTGTCTGAGTTTTTGTGAGTTTTTGTGTTTTTCGCCACTCCCCCCCTCCTCTCTGCACTCCTCTTTGTTTCCCCTTCTCATTCACACACGCAGCCCCTCATAATGCTGGACGAGGTCCCAGGCGCGTTTCCCCCGTGGCTCGACTCGAATGCAGTGCGCTACATCCACTGGCTGCTGTGGCTGGCCATTGTGCCTGCGTTCTATGCGCTCAACAGGCTCGTGGCCGCCTTCCTGCCCGTCACCATCGAATTCGACACGGCTGCCATGCAGCGCTGGGCCACTCTCCCGCCCGAGGTCGCTCCACTGCACGACGCGTCGTCGTCGCTCCTTGGCTCGAGTGTGAGCGCGAGCGACGGCGGTGCGGGCGCAGCGTCAACGTTGCCTCGGCACACGCCACCACGCACTGCGCGTTCACGCCAATCTCAGACCTCGACCTCTGGCCAGACAACGCAGACAAGCCAGATTGCTGATGATTCCGATCAAGCAAGGCCTCCAGTTCAATCGTACAAGGAAAATCGCACAAGCGTCCAAGATCTTGTCCACGTTCACAGCGCAAGGACGTGGCACCGCCGCCGACTCGAGCAATTCGTGCAGATTGCAACCTCATCCGCATTGCTATTGCTGGTCGCACCACTGGCGATCGTTGCATTTCCGCTGTGGGTTGTGCTGACACTCAGTCGACGGCGGCAGTACTGCCACATTCGGCGTCCCGTCGTCTCAGAATCCAAGATGATTGACGCCCGAAACGGACTCGAATTCACGCTGCTCACTGCAAACCTGTGCCTCATGCCCGAGTGCATTGCACGTGTCAACAACCTGCGCGACACATGGATACGGACGCCAGCGATTGCTGCTGCGATTGTCAGCTCGCAAAAGCAAACCACTCCGCATCAGCAACAGCAAGAGGATTCAGCACACATTGCCGAAGAGTTCCCTCATCTCGACTTTGTCTGCATCCAAGAGGCCTTTGATCGGCAAGCGTGCCACACGCTCGCCAGTTCGCTTTCAGAAGTGTTTCCACACGTTCTGTTTGATGCGGGCGCCTACGGCTGGTCGAGCAACAAGCTCTTGCTGAATTCCGGCCTTTTATTTGCCAGCCGATACGAAATTATTGCAGCCGAGTTTCGGCGCTATACTGCTGCAACCGATGTCGACGTTCTCGCCAGCAAGGGACTCTTGATGGTCCAGGTGCGGCTTCAGCCAAAAATCGTCGGGTTTGTCTTTTCAACCCATCTGCAGGCCGTCGACCGGACGCCCACCCACGCTGTGCGGCAGGCCCAGATGTCCGACATTCAGTCATGGTGCGTGGAGTTCCGCGAGCGTCTCACGTTGCCCAACGAGCGAGTGGCCTTCCAAGTTCTCGCGGGCGATCTCAACTTTGACGGACTGTCCCACGCCGACGCACCCGATCGCCAACATCCCTTGCTGCGTGATGACTATGATGACCCGTGTCGTACCGATTCGCAAATCTACCCAGAGCCAGAGCATCAAGGCACCAATCCCGCATCCGAAAAGCCGTGGACGGTCGGCACTGCGCTGCTCAAGCAGCTGCTCTGGCATCCGTTCGTCGCGACTCCTGGCGGTTTGGCCCGGGCCCTTCGGTCTGTCAGTAGTCACGTTCCTGGCGAAAGCGCCAACCCCGATCGCTACTACACTGAGAATGCCGTTTCATCCGATGGCAGCACGCACCGCGGCCGCCGAAGAATCGACTATGTACTGTTTCACCGCGCAACCTCTACCAGTCCAGACTTTACCACGCGCGTAGACAGCTTGCAATTTGTCACGCGGCTTGCTCGTCTGACTGACCACGTCCCGATCGCCGTTCGTTTCCGCTGCGTCCCATCTTCAAGCTGATTTGAAACCTTTTGTTTTGAGCTGTTTGTGTTTTTGCCCTTGTCATGATCTCAATTCATGGTCGACGTTACGTTGCGCGGTTTTCCACTCTAGTCTTCTTTTTTTATTCTTATTTTTATTTTTTGAGTGTCGAGTCGCCAATTCTGAGATTCAGCGAGCCAAATTTTGAAAATGTTTGACACGCTGCGTAAGCGGATTGCAGCGCCGACCGACTCACCGCAGCCAAAGTCTACTGGCAGCCCCAACAGTAATAATAGTAATAGTAGTAGTAATAGCAATAATAGCAATAATAGTACCGGCAGTGCGAGCGAGAATGGCGCGAGTACGAGTTCGCTGGAGGCACAATTGCAGCGGTACAAGAAGCAGCTCAACTCGGTCGTCCAAGCCTACAAGTCGCTGCAGCGCGAGAAGGACGCGCTCGAAGCGACTCTCAAAGTGCTGACATCGACGTCCGACAGTGGCAGCGCGGCCAGCAGCAGCAGCAGCAGCGAACCGAGCTCCAGCCAGCCAAGCTCAAGCGCGAGTAGTGCTGCTGCTGCTGCTGCGACTGCTGCGACTGGACCCGCGCCGACCAGCAAGCAGCACGCATCGTCACGTCAGGACGCACTCTCTGGAGCAGACTTGTCGGCGGGCGCCGCGGATGACGGATCTGCTGCTGGTCCGATGATGGGCGGTTCGACCAACACGCTCCCCGCCAAAGAAGACCAGGCTGATGGCGAGGACGGTTCGAGGCAAAGCGACACTGCAGCAGCCCGGAACGATCGCGCGGATCATGCCATGGGAGCGGCCGAAGGGTCTGAGCAACCTCAACCTGAGCAATCTGAGCAATCTGAGCACTCTGAGCCATCAACGGAATCGTCTGAGCAATCCGAGACAGACACGTCCAAGCTCATTCACAAGCATGAGGCTGCTCTGGGCGAGCTTCGGACGCAGCTTGCACAGGCAGATGACAAGATCAAGACGTTGTCGCGCGTAATCAACACAATCTCGCAGGAGAAGGCAAACATTGAAGCAGGCTTCAAGGAAGACCGCAAGGATTTGCTCGCGTCTCACAGAGCAGCACTGGTGGATTTGCAGCGCGAGAGCGCAGAGCTGCTCGAATCAACCAAGCGCTCGCACACCGCGGAGGTTCAGACACTTCGTAGCAGCTTGGCCGAAGCGCAAGCGCTTGTCGCCCAGCTTCAGCAGCAGCAGCAGGAGCAACAGCAAGCAAGGCAACAGCACTCCCAGGCGCCCTCGATCGGTATTGCCGAGATTGCTCGCCTCGAGAAGGAGCGCGATGCCCTGAACGCAAAGCTCACCGCAAGCCGCGAAGCCACCGAAGCCACCAACGCTCTACTTGTGCAAGAGCGCGCTCGGTCGGATCTCCTGGCCCAACAGCTTGCCGAGGCCGGTGCACAGAACGCGTACTACAACACGGGCGATCGCTCTCGGCTGGAGTCTCGAATCGCCGAAATGACCGAGATTGTTGCCGAGCTCGAGTCCCAGCATCGGTCGGACGTAGCGACTGCAGCGCAGCTACGCGAAACCATCAGCCAGTTGGAGTCCCGCCCTTTCCCCGCTGCGGAGGGCTGGGGCGACTCGGGCGACTTGTCGACCCCGCCTGTCCGCGTGGTTTTGAGCGCAGTCCCGGTTCGCGCCAAGCGCGCACCTTCCGCTGCCAAGGCAGTGCTGCAGTCGCAAGCATCGGAAGAATCCACCGGCAGCTCGCCTTCTCCGTTGTCGGTGATTGGCGACCCTCTCGGAGTTGCAGAACACCAGGCAGCTGAAACCCCCGATTCCGCCTCACCAGCGAAAACTCCGTATCCTGACAGCGAAGAGGCGCTCTCGACACCGGCTCCTGCACCAAATAACAACAGCATTGCTTCGCAAGCCATTTCGGCCGAGTTTGAGCGCTACAAGACTCGGGCGCAGGCTGTGCTCAAGGGTGCCAAATCCCGCGAGGCCGCGTTGGTCAAAGACGTGGCCAGCCTGAAGCAGGAGGTGCTGCATGCTAAAACTGCTCTTGAGCGTGCGTCTGCAGAGCAGCTTGTCTACCGAGAGCAAGAGCGCGTGCGGTTTGAGCAACAGCTGCAAGCCATGGTGAGTCGCGGATTTTTTGAGTGTGTTGGTTGTGCTTTTGCTGGATGTCAACACTAACAAGTTTGCGTTGCAATGGCAGTCGGCTCGGCTCCAGCAACAACAAACAGAGGCACTGCTCCAGCGCGACGAATTGCACGAGGCTCGCGAAGCAGAGACACACGCAGCGATGGACCAGTTGCAAGCCACCGTTCGCGCGAATCGGGAGCGCACCATTCAAGTTCTCGCAGAAAAGGACGGAGAGGTGCTGCAACTGCGAGATACCCTGCGCAACATTTCTGAACGCTTCCCCGACATTGTATCGCAAGCAATGGTGCGCTCGCAAGCGCAGTTTCTGGTTTCGTCCGGTGACGAGCCCAATCATGCAGCGCCGCAGTTTTCTACCAGCAACGTCAACGGGTCTGGACGCTCGACGACTTCCGGAGGCATGCCGTCATCGACTGGTCTCAATGGCACATTGTCGGGCGATGCACCAGCTTCAAACGGTCGTCGCCACGCCAGCGACAACACGGTGCTCCGGGACTTGGTCGGACGACTTGCCGATCCGAACGGTCGCTCGCATCAGCAGCAACAAGCTAGCCAAGCCTCTGGTGTGGAGCTGCTTCTGCAACAGCAACAGCAACAGCAACAGCAACAGCAAACGCTCTTCCCGTTCGGCGAGGAGGAGGTGGCTCGTCAGGCGCAACTGGCAGCAGACGCTCTGCTTGCTCGGTCGAACTCGAACAACGCCATCCACCACATGGATGCGCGATCGGCTTCTTCCTCGCATAGCGACAGCAGTGCCTCGGTTTGGCCAGACAGCGGAGCAGTTTCACCACCCAACAGCGCGCGGGTGGCGAGCGAAATGAACCACTTGGTGCATCTCGCCACCATGCAGGCCAAACGTGACGAGGAGCTTGCTGCAGCTCGGCGCTCTCGCCGAGAGCTGGAAGAGCGAGCGGCGGAGGTCGAAGAGCGCGAGCGCAAGCACCTCGAGCAAATCCAAGTCCTCAAGGACGAAATTCGCCGTGCCGAGCGCAACGACAAGCGGTCGAACGTGAACCTCGAGTATCTCAAGAATGTTGTTGTCCGCTACATGGCCAGCCCAACGGCCGCTGCCAAGCAGGTACGCGTAGTTGTAGTAGTTGTAGTTGTGTTTTCTTCCTCGTTCCTTCGCCAAGGGAGTATGGTCCCGATTGCTCAACGGCGGCATTTGCTTTGTGTTTTTGCATTGGGCAGGAACTCGTTCCCGTCATTTCCGCTGTTCTTGAGATGAGCCCCAAGGAGCGTCAGGCTGTTCTCTCCGCTCACGGCATGCGATGATCAAAAACTTTGCGCTGTCTCCTTCAGTTGTCATTGTTCAACAAGTCGTGCTATCATGTTTTTTATTATCATGGCTAGTTTACGTACTAGCATCCAACCTCTCAGTCCACTTTTGAGCGAATGAAGCAGCACTCCGTCACAATGATGATGGTTTCGCTGCTTTTGTATGGATTTGCATTACAGACCGCCATTCATTCGCCTTTTGCTGCTGCTGCTGCCACTCCGCCTCAGCCACCACCGCCGCCATTGCCGCACTCGCTGCTCCAGTCATTCGGCAATGGCACTGGCGGCGTCAATGCAGTCACCGTCGGCGTGCTGCTGCCATTCACGCTCGGTCAGTCTCACTGCTCCTCGTGTTCCCTCCCTTATGCGCAACGTTACATCCAGCAACTCAACCCAGTTTCTCAACGATGCTTTGTATGACTCATTGTGTGTGATCCAACGCCGAATAAATGACACAGGCGTGCTCGACTCGGAGCCGTTCGAAACCGCTTATGAAGGTACCAATCTCAGATTCTGAGCCGTCGATAACGATGCGGGTCACTCGTAAACGAGCAGTGCATTTGAATCTGAACATTTTGCTGAAATCTTGGTTTGAATGGCAGTTACTTTGGGCTTCTTGATGGCGTTGTACGACCTCCAGCCGCTACTCTCAGACGCTGGGTTGACCGTCAACCCAATCATTCGCGATGACCAGTCCACACAAAGCTCGTCCTTCATCCAAGGCACTGCGCTCATCGAGACAGATGATGCGATCGCGGTCGTTGGTGAAGTCGACAGGTTTGTGTTCAACAGGTTTCTTGTTGTTGTTGTTTTTCCCTTCGAAGACTCACGACTTGTTTTGGTTTCCGCGTTGTTTTCTGTTGACAACCCATTTCTTGGACTCGCTCAGCGACTTGTCTCTCCTGGTAGGCTTTCTAGCGTTTCTTGTCTTGCAGTCGTTGACTTGCATTTTCGCCTGACCTTGCATTCATATGAATGCCATTGTGTGGTTCTGGCGCAGCTTGCAGGCCTGGGTGCAAAATTCAGACGACCCATCATCTCGCCAGTGTCCGGAAACCCGGCACTGACATCTGCAACCCACTACCCAACGTTTGTACGAGGCGGAATCAACGACAACGCCCACGTTGCCGCGCTCTGCAGCGCCATCGATGCAACAGGGTGGGACCAGGTCGGTATCATTGCGTCTGTCGATGCGTTTGGGCTGGCAACGTACTCTGCCGTCTCGCAGTGCCTCCGCGACCTGTCCGCTGGAGAGCGACCAGACATCCAGGTCATGTCCTCCGAGTTTATTCCTCACACCGTCACTGCCACGACCAAGCTTTCGATTGACGAGACCAACGATCGCATTCAACGGTCTGGCGTGCGCGTGATTATCTTTTGCGGCAAGCCGAACGTGTACGACAACTACATGAATGTCTCGTCGCAAGCCGCGCATGACTTTTTTGCAAGCACCACGTTCTTGGTGGCGCACGCAGTCTCCACGTCGTCCATCGGAAGCACTGGCGGCGAGTACTTTCCGCTGCCTTCTCCGGCCACCGTGCGTGCTTTGCGAGATTCATTCGGGACCATCCCATACTCGGGAGTTCATCTCGATACCTTTGCGACAACACGCATTGCTGTCATGTCGCAGCTCGCCAACCCGTACACTCAAGTCAACTCGTGGTTTGCTGGCTCGAACATTGCCATCAAGCCCTTCCAAGGCTTGCGGTACGCCCCAACGTACTTGCTCTACGGGTACGATTCCGCC